TCCCATTGGTTGCTCACGCATCATCTGATGCCACTTCTTCAATCTACCGCTCAGTCGAATCCTGAAGGAACTGTCCGCCTGGTCAACTTGACATCGGATGGACATGCAAGGTTTACTCCTCCGAGCGGAATTCGGTTTGAAGACACCGGATTAGAGAAGGAAAACTCCATGATGAGATACGGCCAGAGCAAACTGGCGAATGTCTTGCATACAGTGCAGCTGAACAAAAAATACGGCCCTATCTCTGCGGAAGCTGGCAATGCAGCGATTTGGTTTTCAGCAGTGCATCCCGGCCACATTGACACGTAAGTTCCTGCAGCACTTACTTCCAACAACTCAAGGTGTATTTGGAAGCTGATTGAAGTCAAGCGATCTGAATAAACAAGCCACGGGGGCGTTGCCTGCAGGTGTCTTGCGAGTAGCTACTCCCATCATGAGCTGCCTCGGGATCCTGGATAAGCAGGAGAAGGGCGCCTGGTCCTCGCTCTTTGCCGTCGCCAGCAGCAACTTCAAGAAGTCAGATTCGGGTGCCTATGTTGTACCATATGCAAAGATTGGGACGCCGAGTGACCATGCGCGAGACGCGAAGCTGGCCGAGAAGCTTTGGCAGTGGACTGAGTCGGAGCTTGGCGCCAAGGGCTTGCTCTGAGGAGCGACCAGAGGTTAGGAAATGGGAGATATGCATGCATTATCAGGAGCAATAGCGAGTACTCTATTAATTAATACACCTATGAAAGCGTACAACTTCATATTTTGGTCGTGTGTTGCGAGCTTTGCTTTGCTGAGCACGAAGCGAACTGAGACGACACGGCAACCAATCTGTCCGACTCTAGCCAATCAAGTGTCAGACTTTGCGAGCGAGCCAATGAACGTAACACATTCTGTGACTCCATCAACTAAATTGGGGAAATCTGGACTCTCTGATGAGATGAGCAAAGCACCCGAGCCGGGACGGCCCCACATCAGATGAGAGTCCGGATCTCTGAAGCATCTCGAGAAGGGACTCTCATTTACTCCCCTTCATCAATGCTGGATATCTCCATCTAACCGGACTTTATAACGAAATAGACAGCTGGACGAACATTATCCAGACAAACTAGTTGAGAAACTAGGATACCAACACAGAAGCTTGATAATATGCCCCAAGCTCCTCCTGCCAAGAAGGGGAGAAGGAGAGTGAAGACGGGGTGTCAGACTTGCAAGTATGCATAATACGTTCTATCATGAGCTATAATGAATCTTGATGATCATCTCACTGTTTGACACTAACACATTGGGTGTAGGAAGCGGCGTGTAAAGTGTGATGAGGGGAGACCGGCCTGCCAGAGATGTGTCTCGACTGGTCGGGTCTGTGATGGGTACGGCATCTGGGGTGGCGGAGGGAATGCCTACGGAAGCTCCGACAAGGTCCCGTTTGTTTCCTCTTCCTCTCTAGTCCGTAGGAATCAGATGCAGCCCCTGCGGAACATTGTCGTCATGTCGCAGACGCGCGCGATCGCGGGTCAGCCCGCAAGCCTCGGGTTTGAGTACTTTCGGAGATATACCACCACTAAGCTTCCCGGCCTGTTCGAATCGGGCTTCTGGGATTCTTTAGTGCTGCAAGCAAGCGAACAGGAGCCGGCTGTTCTGCATGCGGTCACAGCATTGGGTGCGGCTCATAAGAATGAAGAGCGCATCTCACTTACCGAATACAACGAAGCCATCCGGCATCTGCGGCAGAGCCTCAAGCGTTCAGACAAAGAGGCACTTCGGGTGTGCCTAATCACTTGTATGCTATTTGTATGCATTGAGCTGTTGAGAGGGGGTTTCAAAGCAGGCCATGCACACCTGACCAATGGCCTCCGCATTCTTCGTGAGATCCAGCAGCGCGAGGGAATCACCTCTGATGGAGATATTATTCTGCGATCACATGCGGTATCGGTTGAGGATACTCTTGTCGAAGTCTTCTCTCGGCTTAACGTGCAAGTTGCGCTGTTCGGCCAGGTATCTTCATACTTGCTTTTTGTAGGAGATAGTGCAGAGTCACCGAAGACGTACGATATTCCCCAGACGTTCCCATCTCTGCGAGAAGCACGGAAGCACATGGACTCCCTAATCAACGGGTCGCATATCCTAGGGGAACAGGCCAGTCAGCTGATTCTAAGTGGACAACCTATCCCGGAAAGGCTTTATGAGGATCAAGGACGTCTGGAAGCGGCGTTGATGAGATGGCTTCGTGCTTTGGATTCCAGTCATGAAAAGTTGACTAGCCGAGCAGACTTTCGCACCAAGTTTGCCATACCCATGTTGCTTCTATATCACACTATGACGAGGATCATGGCCGCCACTGCCCTTCGTGGAACAGATGAAATGATATATGACCGCTATCTGCCGGATTTCTCCCTACTGATCAAGCAGTCAGCTGACCTGTGGGATCTGATGCGCACCGCAATGAAGAAATCTTTTGGTTTGAGAGGCACTAGTACACCAGACATCAACTTTACCATTGATATGGGCTTCATACCACCACTATATTACGCACTGGCCAAATGCCGCCAGCCGAATCTTCGCAGGATGATCCTCGAGTTGCTGAAAGAAGTTCCGCATCGTGAAGGTGCCTGGGATGGATTCACGGTCATCAATATGGGCGACCTGTTGATAGAAATAGAAGAAGAAGGCATGTATGAAGGTCTTGAGATCAAGCCGAGCTGTTACTTGCCAGACCCGTCAGTGGCGGAAGTATTGCCCATCATCCCGGCATCCCAGCGATTCAATAACGTCAATGTAGCGCTACCTGATTTTGAAAGCGGCAAGGCTACTTTATTCGGTCGGCGGTACAGAGGAAATAACCAATGGGAGTCAAAAATTGTGCAGTTTGACTCTGCATTCAGGAAGCTCAATCCTCTTTCGTGGGAATGCATTCAGACATCTTGCGTAGGAATGTGTTGACACTTTTTGGGCGAGATCTGATGTACGTCTAGTTTTTCATTGTAGCAATAGATTGAGATAGCTTATTTCATGAAAGTTTGCCTTCAATTTTATGTGTACACTGGTACGATACGAGTCAACATGGCCTGATAGCGCGATTGGAAACCCATCTAACCCCTTTGAACGAAGGCAGAACAACAACAATTTGAGCGAGTCCAATAGAAACATTTGCCGATATGCACTTACATGTCAGGTAGATAGGCAATATTAATTCTCTGTATATAGGATGATAGTACAGCAGTACAAAGTGACATTGGTTGCATTCCACATGCAGGAACTCATCCACTGCATATTCTCTCAGCTTTTACTCTCCTAAGTACACTCGTATTTCTGGTTCATCTTCACCCCCAATATCTTCATCTCGTCGGCAAAGGCTTCGGTGGGGCTCTTGAAATGAAGCCAGCTTTTGCATCGTCAATGCATTGGTGGCGTGGTCTAGTGAAGGCAATCTGCATCAAGGGCTGGAACTCGTGGCATAATAGGTCAATGGGTACGATGGCATGCGTGTGTGCGGCTTTCTAGAAGCACCAGCACGGTATTCACACGTGGTGCAGATATACTAATTGTGGCGCGATTGCATTTTATTTGGATTCAACGCTTCTCATTGGTTTAATTTCCCTGATGTTGCAGGAGGCGAATGACTTTGTGGTGAAGCGTGAAGCTCCAGCTTGAGAGCGCCGCTTGTCCGCTTGTGAAGCTCAATAACTCTCAATAACCGGCACAGTCGGTAGCCAAACAATAGCTCAAGGGATCCCATTGTCTTGCATGCTTACAGAAGAATTCTTGAATGTGGCACGATACATTTGCCTGGCTGTTAAATAAACAAAGAACATAGGCCGTGGCAGTACACTACACGCAATGATTGCTGACCGAGTTCCACATAGCCAGGCTAGCCACAGATCCCTTATCAATTACGAACTGTACCCTTGCAATTGCAGTCACGAGTCACTAGGATTTATATCCGACGGCGCGACGTGCAGCCTATGAGCGAGAGCCAGCATCTCCGCGGTTTATCGGTTTATCGAACCATTGAGCGACGGCTTCGACGCTGGCGCTCCCCCCAACTCTAAAGCGTTTTGCCGCAGCGGCGACACTGTGCAATGAGGCGGAGGCAAGGAGCTATCTTCAGAATCAGGATTTCTTCTGCCAAAACATCTGTAAGAACTCTATTTGCGCTTAACACGTGGGGGATGAATGTCTTTTTGAGAGTGCCTGTACTCTGATAAAGTCTATGAATACACGCACGCTGTCAGTCCCGTATCTGAGAGATATACACGTAATTCGGCTCTGAAGGCACATTATCCGTTCCTCAACCCCACAGAAGAAGCTTAAGAATGCGGGGGAGGAGAGCCAGAATAGCAATCGAAACCCCCGTCTATACCCCCATTGTCAGAAACGGACAACTTGTTCCCCTTCTTTGATGAACTAAAAGCCCCCACGAACAACCACCGAGTTTCTTGCCATCACTAGGCTTCTCCACACTGGTCGATAAGCCATAGCTGGATTGCTGGGTTCGGCATTTAATCGCTAATAGTCGCTAATTATTGCCATGTTATCTGCGCCGGCCATCGGTCAAATTACCGTCCTGGTAATCGGTATCTCTCTTTACCTATCTTGCTCGTTTCCATCTTGAGAATCATTGTGGGGGAGATCTTTCTTCAACCATCACCTCGACCCCCCACCGTACATGAGGGCATGATCTTCCAGTCATCAGCAGCAGCCGTCTATGAGCGCGTATAGACAGGCATATTAAAAAGGAACAAGGAACCATGCAGTGTTGCCTGCTTCCGAATGCAACCTTATGATAGCAGCCTTCTCTGGCACCAATTACATCTCTTTGTTGAACACCCAGCACATCGTGGTGGTGTGCGTCTTTCTCCTCTCCCCTGTTCTCTTACATCTGTCGTGTGGGAAGAGCGACACGGCAAGAGACTATAGCGGCATCCAATCGTGCACGGCAAAACCCGCGAGCCTGCAGAGAAACTGAGACGGATCTCAGATCTGAACGATCTGACCTCCTTAAAACCATCATCATGGGCCAGCCAGATTTGAATGAGAAGGATGAGAGGGGTCTGCAGTCCGTGTCTTCGTTCCGCCCTGGAGCGACGAGTGGTGTACTAGAAGACTATGCAGACCCTGATGTCCAGAATGAAGCCGAATCGACTCACAAGGGAGAGTTTGGCACGAAGCGTGACCTTGTAAGTCGCTGAATACTCGTCTTCGATGCATTGACTGATTGAGATTGTCGGCAGAAACCTCGCCAGGTTTCCATGATTGCTGTCGCAGGAACTATTGGTACTGGTCTTTTTCTAGGTTCTGGCGCTGCATTGGTTAATGGCGGGCCTGTGGGATTCTTCCTTGGCTACACCATTGTCGGCTGCTTGGTTGGCATGATGATGTACTGTCTGGGTGAAATGTAAGTCTGGTTACGAACATGTTCTAAGTTATTCTTGTGTGGTGCTAATCTCGAGTCTATAGGTCCGTCTATTCACCAAACATTGGCGGTTTCATCGAGATGGGCAACAAGTACATCGCTCCCGAAGCTGGGTTCGCGATGGGCATCAACTACATCCTGCAGACTGGCCTGGCTATCCCCACAGAGATTACAGCTACTGCCGTCATGATCAGCTACTGGGATCATGTCTCAGATCACGTATCGGCATATATCGCGGCCTTTCTGGTGCTGAGCATCGGCATCAATCTCCTCGGTGTCAAATACTTTGGCGAGATTGAGTTTGTATTCGCCTGTATGAAGGTATTAATGCTTGTCGCCCTCATACTATTCGGCTTGATAGCCGATGTTGGCGGTGTCAATGGTGTATACACTGGCGGTCGCTACTGGCGAGATGAGCCATTCAATGACTCGTTTGCAAACTTGTCACCAGTCTCCCTCTCACGTTTCCTCGGATTCTGGAAAGTCCTTACTCAAGCTGCTTTTGCGTTTGGTGGTATTGAAGGTATAAGTGTGCTGGCCGGCGAGGCGCACAACCCCAGGAAGACGATGAGAAGGGCAGTTAGAACAGTCTTCTACCGAATTGGTAAGCTGAAGAATCCGGAATACCTAGGAAATCCCTATTGACATTCTTTCATAGTTGGACTGTACCTCCTCACTGTATTGATGATCTCTCTCAATGTCAGCCAACATTCGCCAGCGTTGCTCAGTGCAGTCGCCCAGGGTGGTTCCACGGCAGCATCATCGCCTTTCGTTGTCATCTGTCAGCAAACCGGCGTTAAAGTTCTCCCAAGTGTTATTAACGCTGTGGTAAGTAGCTGAGGATCTCATGCTATGGACAGCTTATACTCACACATGAGTTCAGGTTATGACGTCTGCACTCTCATCATGTAACGAAAACGTCTTCGCCGTAGCGAGAACGTTGCTCGCGCTATCTCGACAAAGTAAGAAGACTCTTGTTTCAACGGCCTTAGTGGAAGCTGATCACTGGATGCTAATCATTTTGGTTTAGGATCTATGCCTCATTGCTTTCTCAAGACAAGTCGCTTTGGCACACCCTTTTGGGGCGTTCTGGTCTCTTTCTGCTTTGGACTATTGGCTTTCCTCTCCGTCTCCAATGGCTCTGCCCAAGCTTTTATCTGGCTTTCAAACTTGTCAGGTAATTAATCTCTGAGTTCTTCTTGTGTGCTCATTGGCTGACACTTTGACTTTAGCTCTCAGCAGTTTGATTGCATGGATCTCCATCTGTGCCTGCTTCGTCAGATTTTATCGTGCCCTGGCAGTTCAGGGTATTGACAGAAGAAACCTTGATCTCCGCGGCTGGTTCCAACCATATATGGCTTGGATTTGCATCGTCCTCTTCACAATTATCCTGTTCTTCAATGGGTTCCAGGCTTTTATTCACAAATTTTCGGTGTCCGGCTTTTTCGCTTCCTATGTAACGCTGCCAGTGGTTGCTTTGGCATTCTTTGGGTTCCGTATCTACCTGTGGCGGACTGGAAAGGCATATGGGTTGACTAATCTCAATGAGATTAATCTTGGCAATGGGCCAGCCAAGGCCCTGCGTGGTACTCGGTATGATCTTGGGTCGTCATGAGTACAAGGGCAGTATGACACTGCAGGAACAGTTGTGAATAATGAGATAATGTCATGTCAAGCTAGTTGAGATTGTAATAAGACTATGACATAGTACAGATTCCTTCTAATAGCAAAGCAAAGGATAAACTCTGTATTCACTAAGCCTTCCCGTCTTTCTCAAAATTATCGCTCAATAGGAGAGTTTCTCATGAAACCAATCTGGTTTTCCTCAATGGGGCTATCACAAAGTGCGTGCATGTATTACAGCCACTAGCCTAAGACTGCGGGGTCGGAATACGAAATCAGCAACCAGTGGTGCGATCTTCATGTCATTACCCTCTTGGACTGTGATATTGAGTAAACTGGGGCGAAGTCGGATGTAGTCTCCATGCTCGCGCCCGGCTCGGCATTCCTAGGCACATTTGAACCGTTAGAAACTTGCCAAACATGATAAGAGATACTACATAACTTCCCCCGCTTCTACAGACGATGTTCCGTATCCCGATCGTTCCACGGGCGCTTGATATGAATTGGGCAGTTGGCTATCTCCAGTGGAAGCAGCGGATAGTTTTTGGAGGACAAAAAGCTCCACCTGGTCTACCTCGCACCGCATGCAATCTGTTGCCATACGTCAGAGTTGACTCTGCGCATGAATTCTACTAGCCTGGTGTTTATGATTGAAGACCAAAGCAGGAGAGTTTTGGCTTCAATGATAATTTCAGTTGACTGCTAGAACAATACAGTTGTGCCAAATGCCTGATGAAATCATAGATTCAGATCTAAGAGATCTTTATTGCACCCCGCCAATCATGAAACCCTCTTCCAGATTTGATGCCTATGAGAAAGAGGGGCAAGAAACGCGTTGTGACGGTAAACTGGCCGACTGGGGTTGCAGCAATTTATCCAAGGGGTATAACCCGGCATATGCAGACTGGTAATGCACCTCCCCTCTTGGTCTGAGACACGCTCATCAAAATCCACGGCAAAATGTCTCACGGTGTAGAATGCAGTTGCGGCATGAATTCCGGAATGATATTTTTTCGCATTGTTGGCCCGACGGTTGGTAACTTTAGTGATAAGACATGGACGATGTAACGCAAGGAATTGAAATGGGGATCACCGAGACTTGAGGGGTTGCTGGGGTAGGCAGAAACAATGGAATACATATGGAGTCATGATGGCAGCATCTTTGGTGTTGGATGCTCTCCATGTGTCTCGGTTTGTTGCTAGCATAGTAAGAGACAGTGGCAGTATGGCGAAATTAAACCAAGCTGCCAATGCTGTTGGTCTACTTTATGGACTTACAGCTACTACGCAGGTTCAAGCCGCCTCATTTGATCCCTTGACACACGTCGACCTTCTCATTGGCAGCAGCAATGGCGGCAATGTATTCCCAGGAGCTACTCTTCCTTTTGGCATGGCCAAGGCTGTAGCCGATACCAATAGCGGCAGCAACCAAGGCGGATTTACTCTAGATGGCTCGTCTGTCACCGGTTTCAGCGTCATGCACGACTCTGGCACTGGAGGCTCGCCATCGCTTGGTAATTTCCCACTATTTCCGTATACTTCTTGCCCAGGCGGCGAAGTAGACGGTTGTTCTTTTCCCAAGAATGACCGTGTCAAGTTCGGCAGCTTCTCTAATGAGAGTGTTGTCGCGAAGCCGGGATACTTTGGGATAACCCTCAACAGCGGGCCCAAGGTTGAGATGACAACATCTCAGCATGCGGCACTATTCAAGTTCACGTTCCCCAATGCAGGCCCTGACGATAAGCCGCTTATCCTGCAAGACTTGACGGATCTTTCAAATTCGAGACAAGACAATGGCACTGTGAGTGTGGACGGAAAGACTGGCCGCATCACCGGCAATGCCGTTTTCGTTCCCAGCTTCGGCACTGGCTTCTATAAGTTGTACTTCTGCACAGATTTCTCAGGTGCTGAAATTTATGACAATGGCATCTTTGTGAACTCACGCGCCAGTTCTGACGTCAAAGATCTTACCATCTCGCGCTCTATCAACGGCTACCCGTTGCCAGGCGGTGCCTTTGTCCGCTTCGCCAGTGCTCAAGAGCCCATTTATGCTCGTACTGGTGTTAGCTTCATCAGCAGTGCACAAGCATGCTCCAATGCGGAGAAAGAAATTACCAAATGGGATCTCGACAAATATGCCAATGAGGCCGCCAATATCTGGCGGCAGAAGCTTTCTCCTATTACCATCAAGGCTGGTAATGGTGTGAGTGAGGACTATATCAAGTCATTTTACTCGGGTATCTATCGCACACTCGTCAATCCTCAGAATTATACTGGAGAGAACCCTCTCTGGAACGACGGCGAGCCGTACTACGACTCATTTTACTGTATTTGGGATTTGTTCCGATCTCAGATGCCCTTTATGACTATTCTGGATCCTGCGGCTCTTACGGAACAAATCCGTTCGCTGATATCTATCTATGAAAACTTGGGATGGCTGCCTGATTGCCGTATGAGTCTCTGTCCGGGATACACCCAGGGTGGCTCAAACGCAGACAACGTCTTGGCAGACGCCTATCTCAAGGGTCTCAAAGATGGAATCGATTGGGAAAAGGGTTATGAGGCTGTTGTCAAAGATGCAGAAGTTGAGCCTTATGCCTGGTCCACGAACGGTAGGGGAGGCATCGACTCGTGGAAAAAGCTCAACTACGTTCCCGTACAAGACTTTGACTACAAGGGTTTTGGAACCATGACGCGCACCATCAGTCGCACTCTTGAGTATAGCTACAACGACTTTTGCATCTCCCAGATTGCTGCAGGGTTGGGTAAAAAGGGAGACCAAGAGAAATACATCGAATCCAGCGGCTATTGGCAAAATTTGTTCAAAGCTGACCAGACCTCATTCTTCTCAAACGGGACCGACACTGGATTTACGGGCTTCTTCCAAGCCAAGTTCTTGAACGAGACCTGGTTCACGCAAGATCCATTGATGTGCAGCAACTTGGATTCTAGGAGCGTATGCTCGCTTCAAAACTCTGGGGCTGAGACATTCGAGAGCAGCACTTGGGAATACGGCTTGTAAGTTTATGACATTTGTTTTCAAAGGGATTCTATTATTTGCTTTGTGCAAAAGAACTTTAAACTAACTCACATGCTCCATAGCTTCGTTCCACACGATCAAGCCAGCCTGCTTAACCTTTATGGCGGCTCTGACGCTTTTGTCAGCCGTCTAGATTATATGCACGACCAAGAGATTACATAGTAGGCGATTTTCGATGACACTTAATTCATCCTTTTAACTAACAATGTTTCAGTATCGGCAACGAACCCAGTTTCCTCACTGTCTTCCAATACCATTATGCTGGCCGACCAGCCTTGTCCGCTGAACGCAGCCACTTCTACATCCCCAAGTTCTTTGCTCCTACACCAGATGGGCTGCCAGGTAACGACGACAGCGGCGCTATGGGCAGCTTCGTTGCCTTCTCCATGATGGGCCTATTCCCCAACCCCGGTCAGGATGTCTATCTCATCATTCCACCCTACTTTGAGAGCGTTAGCATCAAGAGTCCGATTACAGGGAAGACTGCGACTATTCGCAATGTCAACTTTGATTCCACTTACAAGAATGTGTATATTCAAAAGGCTACTTTGAATGGCAAACCTTACACGAAGAATTGGATCGACCACAGCTTCTTCCTTGAAGGAAAGGAGCTTGTACTCACTCTAGGCAGCAAGGAAAGTTCATGGGGTACTAGGGTGGAGGATCTTCCGCCGAGTTTGAGCCCTTACAACAGTAGCAACGTTGCTCACACTTCTGCGCCGGCCAAACGATCTTATCGACCGCGCTTTGACAGTGGAGGGATGATGTTTTATTGAGTTAGATATGGCAGACTTGTAGCTACATAATAGCACAGCTTCAATCCTTTGAATATCACATCACCAAGTTCAGATTTTCGCCTTGTCATATGCAATGTTGTTTGTGATATGTATATATGCGCGTTAAGGAAATTTTGAAAGTCATGACTTTTTAATTCTTTTAAGTCCCGTAATGCATAGCCTATATAGAGTATATCCACCCAATGTTCATGTTCATGCGCCTCATAAAATCCCTAGTACGCCGCTCTACCACCGCTTTAGTCCCTGTTTTTACCAAACAAACATTTCCTCAAATAGTTCAACGTCAATGTGATCCTTCTTCGTCTGTCTAATCACGGCCTGCCGCGTTGTGTCGGCAATCTCTGCCGGACCGCAGACAAAGACGGCTGTCTTGCCTTGGGATTGAGTGACAAAGGTGTCAACCACGGAGTGGATGTCAGGTCGTGATTTCTTGAATCTAGGATCGGCGATGCTGTTTCCAGCCTCTTCCGTCTTGGGTGTGGCGTTGGGAGAGTCTGAAGTGATGTAGAATTCCATGTTGAGCCTTGATGCTGCCAGCGCAGATCCTTCAGTGGCACGGAGATCGTTGGCAAGTACGTCTCGAACGAAACCCTCGTCTCGCACGATCCATGCCAGGCGGACCTTGGGAGGTGTTTGTGATTCCTTCTGGTCCTCAAAGAACTGGCGGAGATAGGGCAGCACTGTGGTGATACCGCTACCACCAGCAATGAAAAGAACCTTGTCAAAGTGATCAAGACGAGCGGGCGTACCGTAGGGTCCTTCGAGGAAGGTTCTTACACGGAGAGGGCCGGATTCGCTCTTGCTCATCAACCTGTCTCGAAGTCTTCGGGTCAATCCATCGCGAGGACGGATCATAAAGGTCATGTATGAGTCACCCGGCTCAGAGCTCAGCTCTGTAACACGAGGAGACCGTGTGCCAGTCTCCTTGTCGCTGGGCTGGTCGCTGCTGCTTCCGTATGACGGGATATCATCGATTTGCTTAGATCTTCCAGCCAGAGTGAAGGGGTGAGACTCCCAGAAGTGCAAACTGGGGAAGTATACGAAGTAGTAAGTTCCCGGGGTTTGGCGAGCGGCAGTTATTGAAGGCTTGACCTGGAGACGGATCATGCCAGTCTCCTCGCTGTAGCTGGCCAATGCAAGAGAGCCTTGTCCGAGGAAGGTCTTGTAGTTCATGGCAATGACGCGCAGCATACGAAGGAAATGGTCGCCAGCCCATAGGCCAACACAAGCCCACACCCAGACTTTATACATGCCTTTGAACTGGTCCTTGATGTGGCTGGAATGTTGTTAGCAGACGAAGATACCAGAATAAGGAAGCTAGATGACGTACTAGAACAGCGCAGCAAGGAAGACGGCTGCCAGGGAAGCATGGGCAGCCTTAAAAAACTCATAGATTCGGCTACGCAAAGGAGCAAAACCAAAAGCTGCGCCAAGACTGAGTGCTATAACCATCTGTGGTTTCTGTAAGTACCCACGCGAATTAGATTGGATGCAAATTGACAGCTTACAAGAAGTCCATAACGGAAAGTGGGATCGGTACGCAACTCCTCGTGGTATCCATCCCATCCTTGTTCTTTTTTGTCATATTAGCAATGTTCTCTTTGGGGTGTATTGACTAGATGTGCTCACCATTGACATAGTAGGCGGAAAAAATAACGCCGTGGCAGATACCCTCGATAGTGAGGGTCAGGGCTAGCCAGCGATGGAAGATGCTAAATGTCCTGTAGCTCCATCCCGTGGCGTAGATGAGGATGTTGGCTCTTCCACTGAAAAGAAAGATGAATGGCAATTCGGCCGTCATGAAGATACCGAGTCGATCACCAAGAATTCGGCAGACCTGTCCTGGAACAGTTTTGTAACTGGTGGCTATGTTAGAACAGTATCATAGTAGAAAGTTAGATCAAGAATGCATACTAAATATTGCCGGTAAAGACAGGGTAGTGGAAAGCCAGCATGAAGATTTGCGTAATGATGTAGCCAGCAATGACCAAGGATTGCAAACGGAGAGGAACGGTGAACCATCCCAAGGGCTGATGATGGTGGTACGAGAATGTAGGGGCCATCATGAGATTGCGATGGAACCAGCCCTTAAGCTTTGCTGGCGCATTGTTCTTTCGTACTGGTTGACTAGAGCGTTTCACTGGAAGTAATGCGATGGCGTGGCTGATTGTAGCCAGAGCCAGCACCAATCCCCAGTAGCCGTATGGGATCCATCTATCATAATACACCTGTTAGCGGCAGGGGGTGGTGAAGGAATATTGTGTAAAAGTAGCGTACCGTAGCTTCTGGTGGTATACAATGTTGGTGTAGTAAGTGTTGACAGTTCGGTGAGAGATGTCCCAGTTTGCTTGCGACGGCATCGACACAACATCCACAACAGTCTTTTGTGTCTGCTCGACAGTGGGGAGGCTATCAATGTACTCTTGCGTCACATTGGCGACGGTGGTTCTATAGGCGTCGAGATTGACCACCTTGGCGGACTTCTTGCATGTTCCAGCCCACCAGTTGATACCTGGGACCAAGTCCTTCTCCTCACAATGCTCCCATAGACACAAGTATGTCGAAGTGACACGCAGGGGGTGTGTGCAAAGCGTCTGCTCCGTTACGTTATCAGAAGCGAACTTGGTCTTGGCCAAGGTGTAGTAACATGAGGCTCCGCAAACCTCGAGCCCAAGAGGCTTGGCCGCATGGGCACAAGCAGCCAAGAGGAGGCAAAGCAGGTAGGAGGTCCGTGACAACATGTTGTTATCTTGGTCCTGTTAGGCGGCCTACGGTTGTTGAGAGCTGACAGCCGGAGAACAAGCCGGCTCTGCGAGAGAGAGGCATCAGAGACATGATATATATGTCAATTGTGACCTGGGATTGTATGTTTTTGCCAATTCTAGCAAGTGCTCGTATCCACACAGCGGACTTTGACTACTACTCTACAAAATAATGGTGGGCTCAGTAAAGACTTAATCGGCCAATACCCGAGGCATCAATAACGTGGCAAGTATTAGCTTTCTATCTATCCACCAGAATCTGATATCAGACAGAGCCAGTCGGGCTGCTGCGGAATAGTTCTTTGGACCAAATAGTCCACATTTCGGAGGAACTAGCCGTATTGTCTCGACTCGAACATGACGAAGTTTGTCGGGTTATTTATACATCGGAGTCGGCTTTCGGGACAACGTTGTCTAGGGCTGGGATGGAGATGGTAGGGGTGCCTGGCTCAGATCTCAACAGCCGAAAGGGAAACATTTTGTGTGTGATTGTCAGATACTGCCCTTGGCATTTCCAGCAACCCTCAAAATGGGCTTGCGGAGCCGGTCGTTCCAAGCGTGTGGAGACAATGCTGATACCTGGGCGTCTGGAGACCTTCCCGACCTGTTGTGACCTTGATGTTGATCAAGGACCGATAGAGACAAATTAAAAACACGCTGGATTCGCTGACATATGTAATGTAACAGTGAGCCGTGGCAGGTTTAATATAACAATCTCCCAATTGGTCGTGGGAGGTCACCCTCTCAGAGAGCCTCGATTTTCAACACACAAACACCAATTTTGGCGACTACTGCACGAGAATTGGAGACGCCGAGGTCGCATGTTCGCTATCAGACTAAGTGGGTAGAACTGGAAACAAAGCCAGGGATGGTGGAGTGACGATGCCCGCTAGAGATTAGATGGATTGATAAGATGATCAGATAAAAATTTTCACACAAGCCACCATCACAAGTTTGGCTCTTGTAGCTCGTAGCTCGTAGCTCGGTCGTGCGACTCCATTGAATTCGCCCCCCTGATTGGTCTGCCGGGTCTCAATCGGGTATTTTACGTGAAGGGGGGTTCGACATGAACCCACAGATGCCGAAAATGCCTCGACTCGAGCCCTCAAAGCACGCCATTTATAATCACTTGTCCCAACAATGTTTCTTTCTCCATTTAAGCCGCTGCAGGAAGATGAGTTTCTCAATTGAGCCGAAGCCCGCGGACTTGCTCGCTCGAGGGGGACAAGTACGAGTATACGAGAGCTGGGCAGATGGAAGAGCGGAGGCAAAGCCAGTTTTCGTTTTCCCCAAGGCTCGGCTTGGCTTCCCGCTCTGGAGAAGACGGCGAATGGCTGTGACTCTGTCATTTAAAGTGCCATTAGCCTAGATAGCTTAATTAAGGTGAATGCCAGTAGGGCTCACCCAGTGCCAAGTACCGGTTTAATGTCGGCGGCCTGGGAACTGGATTCAATTATCCTTGCCCCGATGCAACGCTCCCTGTCGTCAACCACTTCGGCCCGGTAAAATACCTGCCGCAAAGTCTTTCCTGATGAGCAGCCGGGATATGATATGGGCGGGCTTTTAGCCATCCACTCCTGGTTGCCCTGCTGGAGAGACTATTGGATGGGGCACCAAATGCCGCAGATCGATGAGCGCTGATGGAGGGTTGCCAAGCACTGTCACTCGGAGAATCGGCGATACGACTGACTACGATAGTGGTTTTATCTCTAATGTTCTGATATCGTCTCTAGAGACAGTCTGGCTGCATTTAGTTTTTGCGGAGTGCATCAAGGCAGATATTAAACACAAGTCGGGGCGGAACGATGGATCCAGCCGAAAACTCCTTATATCCTTGTAGGCTAAGGTATCTATATATAGATATAGGCCTCAGCGTTTGGGAAATGCAACGCTGCGGAGTGCAGAGGGCAATTTTCCTTGCACAATCGCGCATTCAATGGACCGCTGACTCCGTCTCATCAGTGGTTTCAATTGCCTATTCTGGATGCTCATGCTGTATTTGGCAGTAAGATAGAATGTCTTGATTGCACTCCGTACATGTCCTCGTAATACATAAGATAAGCATGCAGCTCATGGTCAGGTGACACGACATGGTACCGCAGTAATGGCATGGTATACGATGCGGGAGAGATCGACCTCTAACGCATATTGTTGCTTCCATGGATCGGGTCGTTGAAAAGGGGAAAGAAGCAAATCCCCAAAGCAAATACGTCTCGC